ACCTGTCTACCTATCTACCTATGTGTGCATGTACGCCTGTCCAAAAATGATATGTACATCATGGCAGAATGGTACCTTCCATTATCCCACAGGCGACTAGCAGCCATGCTCTTGGGCCCAACACGTTCCGGTCAGCGAAAGCTGCGCAGCCCACGAACATGACCCGTCGGTGACGGAAAAAAGGCGATGCTGTTTTGCTCGTGACACCTTGCGAGATGGCTCCAAGGATACCAACGCGGAAAAATCGTTAGTAACCTGCTGCGGCTGGGACACCAGGCTGCAAGCCGGCCTCCTCCCAGCGAAACAAAAGCATGTAGATGATATGCAAGTGAAACCGGAGGAAAAGCTAGCACGAGCTTATGACTTCACGGTGCCATTGCACCACACGCCATTGCATCCACCACAAGTGCTTGGAGAAGCACACTCCGTGCCCGGGACCGCCCTGTGTCCTTCGTACTTCTCCGCCATCTCGCAGACCTTCAAAATCTCTTCCGGATCTGTGGGGGCTGCACCCAACTTGTCACTCCCGAGCATCGGATCACTTCGCTCACTCGGATAAGCGCAGAAACCGCTGGCTGCATCCGTCATTGGCCATGTCTTGGCGGTCTCGTTGTCGCTCTGCAAGGGGTAGGCATCGGTCTCATTCTGGGCCTGCGTCTGCAACAAGGACTTCACAGTGCCTTCGCACCAGACGCCATTGCACTGCGGACATGCTGCTGGTGTGGCACATTCGGTTCCTGGCTCAGAACTGTGACCGGGGTATTTCTTGGCCATCTCACAAACCTTCAAGATCTCTTCCGGATCTGTGGGGGCTGCACCGAGGGATCCAAGAGATGGATCGCTCCGCTCGCTTGCAAAGGCGCAGAACCCGCTTGCGGAACCTGTCATCGGCCATTCTTGCTGCACTGAAGTGTCGTTTGCAAGGGGGATGTCCTGCTGATTTCCTTGGCTCTGAGATGCTTTGACGATCGAACCAGCTACTTTTACAAAAGCCCCTCCTGAGTCGTCGTCGTTCGCAGCTTCTCTCTCTGCCGCCTACTTGGAGGCCCAGGGGACTTGGTAAGTGGGTCATAAGTAGAGTTCTAAGTACCCTAAATGGAGTTACCCTAATTATAACCCTACTTATTCTAAGTCCACTGGGCCTCCAAGTCCTCTTCATGGTTGGCCTTGAGTCTACATCACATGAGTGTCCGCCTCCTGCCTCTTGCATGCCATGATGAGAAGCTCCCCTCGCTCTTTCCTCTCTTTCCGTTTGTTGCAGACTCTAAACCAACCTTAAGCCTTAAGCCCTAAACCCTGAACCTTAAAAACTAAGCCGTAAACCTTTAACTAGCCCTTAAACCTTCTTTGCGGCGAAAGCCTGAAACCCGAGTTAAACCCTAAGTTACCAAGAGCCTAAACCCGAAAAGGCCCCTAAACCCCACAACCCCTAAACCCTGAACTTTCGGGCTTTAAATCGGCTCCCAAGGGGCCATGCTCGTGGAGGCGAACCTCTGCTTGGCTGCGCTGGCCACGGAGCTGACGTAGTGAAAGATGGCACTCTTCGGAGCCTGCGCAGTGCTGCGATCTAATACCATAGAATGCAATATAACCGGATAAAAGAAAAAAGCTTAGAACAAAACAGAACATAATATCATGATATAGTTTAGCATGATAAAGACATATATATATGTATATTGTGTGTGTATGTGTGTATATATATATATTATAACTTTTTTGGTTGCTGCCGGAATTTGTTGAGGGTCGTTTTGCTGTTCATCTCGCGACTGCTGAAACTATGAACTTGAGCAGGCTTCACCACCTGGCAGTGTCTGAGCTCTTGCTTCCAGGGTTACCGTCAAGTTACTGTTGAGTACTTGGAGGTTCATGGGTAGTTATACGTATGGTTGTAAGTCCCTTAATATGGGTTATTACTATAGTTGCCTTACTTATAACCCCACCTATAACTACATAAACCTCCAAGTCATGGCAGCATGCTGCGACTACGCTGCTCACCAACCATCTGGGACCGTGGCCTGTTTCACACACATCCTCGCTCAGGAGGTCTAGCTCGTCTGCAAGCGTAATGGCCCAAGTGGCAAGCCTGTCTAACACAAGCAGGGCAAAACCCTCCTTTGCATCAGCATTGCAACCTCTATCAAAACACGCAAGGTCTAACAAATCTGAGCTTGGCGCCAAAGCTTCAACATCTGCACGTTGAACATGCAGGCTCGCAGGACCTCGACTTTTGCGAAGTAAGCACATCAACTGTGAGCCACGAGTCGTGACCTCTGAACTGCAGTGCATGGGTAACGATGCCTTCAAACGGGCTCCCACAGTCCAAGAGGAATGATTGAAAGCCTGGAAATGCTGTTGTCTGAATCCAAGTCTGCTGTAACCCATTACGACCCACCCTGTGGTCCGGCCACAACTGGACACAGAGCCCAAGCCCCGAGAACTCTACATCCGGACCTAACCCAACATTCTAACATTCTGCTGTGTGACACTGTATTATGCTATAGTGCACTATACGTTATTCTACGATATGGTACTACATTTTACTGTCCAATGTTATACGCTCTTCTACTATATGTTATTACATTCTACCACAGTGCACAATTGCGAAACTACATGCTATACTTATGCCGCAACATACTAGACTATGCCGGACCCTGCTTACGAGAAGCTCAGGATGCAGCGCAGCGCCCGTGCGTTTGACGGGACTACGGAGGAAAACGCTACTGGCAAGAAAGTATAAGAAGCCTCGTGGCAGCAAGCTTTGCGTTCGAAGCAGAACGATGAGGAACAACATGAGGAAGATTACAGTCGGCGGTGGTGCTGCTGCTGATTGAAATGTTCCTTTTGAAGATGGTGAGGATGATGAGGACCAGGATGAGGAAGAGGAGGCGGATGATGATGATGATGATGATGATCCTGGGATTAGGGTCGGGGTAGCGGCGCTGAGAATCGGGCACTACTGTACGAGTCACTAGACGCTTGGAGCTGGGGGCCATTCACACAGGTACGATGACTTCTGCAGCGACATGATGCTTCCGACCTTGATCTTGAGAATGTCGTGGTCGTGGTGGTGGTGGTGGTGGTGGTGGTGGTGCTGCTGCTGCTGCTGCTGCTACTGCTGCTACTGCTGCTACTGCTGCTACTGCTGCTACTGCTGGTGCT